TTCAAGAATTGACAATATTGAAGCAGAAAAAACAGCTTATAGAAATATAAAATCACTGTTATTAAATGAAGGATATTATTTAACTGATTTTCAGGGATTATTAGATATAGATGAAAATTTTCCTGCGCAGGTTGATGATATAAATATTTTTGAACATATAAAAATAGGAGAGCAGAATTATACTAAATTAAATGTTAAACAAAGAAATATAGTTGATTATATACTGGAAGGCATAAAAGATTCTTCTTTTAATAGTTCTAAATGCTTATACATTAATGGTTGTGGAGGGTCTGGAAAAACTTTTTTATATATTACCTTATGGCATTTATTAAAAAGTAAAGGAATAAATGTTTGTAACATGGCATTTACAGGCATAGCTGCCACACTGCTTCCTACCGGGAAAACTGTACATAAAGTCTTAGGCTTACCTGTTCCACTGTACAGTGATTCATCTTCAAATATTAAAGTTCAGTCAAAAGAAGCACTCTTTTTAAAAAATATTGATGTTTTTATTTGGGATGAAGCACCAATGGCTCCAAAGTATGCCTTAGAAGTTATGGATAAGTTATTAAAAGATATAATGAAATCTAATGAAGTTTTTGGTGGAAAAATTGTAATTCTAGGAGGAGATTTTCGACAAATTTTACCGATAAAAGAACGAGGTACTAGATCAGAAATAATAAATTTATCAATAAAAAATAGTTACTTATGGAAACATTTCAAAAAATACACATTAACAGAAAATATGAGAGCTTTACCAGAGGAAACAGAATTTGTAGACTTCCTACTTAAAGTTGGCAATGGTGAATTAAATGATAAAGATGATAACGTCGAATTACCAGAACATATTATTCAACAAGGAAATATAGATATTGCTAAAGAAATGTATGGTCATTTGATACAACAGAAAAAATTTAAGGATTTGTCAATGTGTGCAATTTTAGCACCAAGAAATGTTGACGTTGATGATATTAATAAGAGGGTGGTAAATCTCTTAGATAGTAAAGGCGAAAAAATATATGAAAGTATTGATTCTACTGAAAATTGTGATAATGGAAAATTTTCTGAAGTTTTATTACCAGAATATTTGAATACTCTCTCTCCACCTTCTTTACCACCACATGAATTACATTTAAGAATTAATTCTGTTGTAATGCTTATTAGAAATCTTAGTATTAATGAAGGATTATGTAACGGAACAAGGTTAATTGTTTTAGATTTATCACATAATGTTATTAAATGTCAAATATTAACGGGAGATAAGAGTGGAAACATTGTTTTTTTACATCGAGTAACCTTATATTGTGAAAATTTATATCCATTTACTTTTAAAAGACGACAATTTCCTATAAAATTGGCTTTCGCAATGACCATTAATAAATCGCAAGGGCAAACATTTAATAAAATATTTATTGATTTAAGAAGAGACGTTTTTAATCATGGTCAGATGTATGTTGCATTATCAAGAGTAAAATCATTTGATTCCGTAAAAATATTTTTAGGAGATAATAGATGTATTATGTATATAAAAAATTATGTTTATAGTGAAATTTTGGACTCTACTTAATTCAGTTTGTTTTCCTAAAAAATTTAATATTTTAGGATTTTATCATTTTTTGTAAAACAGTTTATTACAGTTTCAAAACATTTTATGTATCTGTGAAGTAATTTTTTACACACTGTTATATAGGCAAATCTCTGGAAACTTTAACATTTGAATTTTAATTTTTTTAAACAAATTTTTTGTGTGCACAATTTTGATATTTTTAGTATTACATCTTCGACCAAAATAAATTTCATTTTTATTATTGTACAACCATTATTTATTTGCCTTCTATTTTAAAATATACATTTTTGTAAAGAAAATGTTAGGTTATCTAAATCTGTAACAAGATACACATAAACATTTTATCTCCTACACTTAAGTAAGTTATTTCTCAGTATCACAAAAACATAATTAAACATGAAAATAAATATAATAAACGTCTAATACAACTAATAAGAACAAAATTACAAGAAAAAAATTTAAAAAAATTTTTTACGTATAATTATTTGAATTAGTAACATGAACTGAGGGGCCGGATGTATCAACTGCCGCTACGCGCCATCGTAAAGGACTTTACCAGTCAGTGAGCAGTGAGAGGCCCAGAGGCGCTCACTGCTCACTGACTGGTATAGTCCTTTACGATGGCGCGTAGCGGCAGTTGATACATCCGGCCCCTCAACTTTTCTAATTATTTGATTGGCTGAATTGTTTTGAAAAAATATCGAGGATTTTAATATAACCTTGAAAAAACACTAATAGTTTCATGAACGTTTAATAAAAAAATAAATAAATATTACTTAAGTGCCTTCCGTTGATAAATTTTCCATTCAGCGTTTCCTTTTTTTCGCTTTTTTTTGTTTTCTTTGATTTTCTTTCATTTTGTCACTTTTTATTATATTTTTAATTACTTCGTGATAAATAACATGGAACATATAAATGCGAAACTTCAGATTGATTAGAAAACGATTGATTTGACCAAGCGACATATTTGACGAGCGACAATTTGAATATTTACGTAAAAAAATATTATAATAAATAAAAACATATGCACAGTTTTAAATATATCTAAAGTAATATGTACCCTAATTTTGAAGCAAATTAAATAAGAAACTGGAGAAATTATAGATTTGACCAGTGACATATTTTTCGTACTACACCAGTATCACAAGTATCCAACAATTATTTTGCTTAAAATATAGTTGAAAATAAAATAAATCACGCACATAACATTTGAATTACAATTAAATTGTGCCTTTTATTTCAAATTTTTTCATTTAGTTTTTTAATGTTTATTTTATAAAACCATTTTGATTTGACCAGCGACACAAAAACTGAGGGACACTTTTTAGAAGATTATATCTTTTATAATTTTTACTTTTTATTTTTTTTAAGTTTGTTATGGAATTCTTAAGATATTTTTAAATATTTTATAACAGTAAAAAAACTTGTTTTCCAAAAAAATCTTATTTAAACAGTTAAAATAGTTATAGAAAAAGTGAAAGTAACACTTGCAAAATCATGGTATTGTGAACTTTAATAAAGAAAAACATAGAAAAAATGAACAAAATAATTTATATCAATGGTTAAATCGTAATCCTTATTTTCTTTTTAAAAAAATGTTAATATTTAAAAATCATTAGTTTTTATATTTAGGCTGTTTAAGTTAAAAAATAATGTGAGGGACATAAAGGTTAAAAGTTCCAGAGATTCGCCCATATAAATAAGTACTTTACACACAGTAATTTATTAATTCATTTATTCTCTTTGTAAAATTTCTTTTTTAATTTACAAATGAAACAGCCATATTTATATATATTTCTTCATGATGTATCATTTAGTATCATCTGAAAAATAAATAACGATATTATTATAATGTATGATGAACCATTTCAATATCTAACAATATTGTAAAATTTGTATTTTTATTATTCATGCGTTTTAAACATAAATTATATTTTTTGTTAAATAACATAGGTACACAAAAAATAAAAGTCATCTGTTTCTTGAACCAGTCCTACATGTCTTATAATATTTTTGCCTGCTGAGAACGAATATAAACTCAAAATTGCTCTATCATCCTTTGTTTTTTTAATCGAAAAAAAACTATCCTTAAATGTACAAATTAAAAGTTTAAAGTAAAAAAAAATAAATAACAGATTATGTTGTAAAACAGAACTACAAATTTATGAATTTTTTTTACAACAACTCAGAAACAATGTCAAAATTAAAATATTAACCTTTTTTTTTTTAAACCAAGAATTACGCTTAAATGTATAAATTCAAATTTTTTAGTAAAAGAATGAAACAATAGTTTTTTTCTTTAAAACTGAACAATACATTAATGTACTTTTTTACAACAACTCAAAAAAACTGCAATTTTTGTTTAAATAAAAGAAAACTACCCTTAAGAGGATAAACTCAAACTTGGCAGGAAAAAAATTTAAAAAATAATAACTTTTTAAATGGAACCATACTTTATGTATTTTTATTTTCATAACTCAAAAAATCAAATTTTTTATATAAAAAACTACCTTAAAAAAGAAGAACCCAGAGTTAACCAGAAGAAAATAAAAGAAAATATTTTTTTAAACAGAAACTTGCGATTCTACATTTTTGTTCTCACAACTAAAAAGCAGCGACGGAATTAAATCATCACCCTTTAATTTTTTTAAATCGAAAAAACTGCTTTTACATATAGATAAACTTAAACTTAAAAGAAAAGCAATTTTAAAGTAAGTTTTTTAAAAAAACTATTAAAACCATTAAAAACCATATATTTCTGTGTATTATTTCCAACTCAACACTCACCAATTAATTTTTTTTTCTTTTATGTGTATTTGTTTCTATCCTTTAAAATAAAATAAAGTTTATGAACAATTTTTTTTTTAATTTCCGTTTGAAAAATCGAAATTTCACAACTTTAAAGGTAGTTTTTATTTCTTTCCTGTTAAGCATGGTTAATTTTAACAAAAACATGAGGTGATGTTTTAATTCTGACATTGTTTTTGAGCCGATGAATAGAAGTATATAAATTTATTGTTCTGTTTTAAAGTAAAAAATAAATAAATAACAGATTATGTTGAAAAACAGCACAATAAATGTATATGTCGTAGCCACATTGTGAAAAACCGCACTTCATGAAACGTCTAGGCATTTCATGAAGTGCGGTTTTTCACAATGTGGCTATGACATATATACTTCTGTTACAATAACTCAGAAACAATGTTAGAATTGCTCCATCACTCTTTGCTTTTTTAATGGAAAAAATCACCCTTAAACGTGGAATTTCAAACTTTAAAGAAAAAAATTAAATAAGAGTTTGTTTTTTAACCTCCCTACGGTTTAACCCGAATATAGTTAGGGTGTATCTTTAATTTATTTATTTAAAAAAATTTAATTCGAGAGTCATATAAATAAAACTCGCAGTGTAACTTGAAGCTAAATAAAATAATTATAAATTTATTTCCTGCAAAATTGAAAAATCATAAAATCGTAGGAGGGTTAAATTTTGAATTTGTACATTTAAGAGTAGTTTTTTTATTAAAAAACAGAGGGTGATGGAGCAATTCTGACATTGTTTTTGAGTTGTTGTAAGAAAAGTGCATTTTATGGTTCTGTTTTGCAATATAATCTGTATATAGACCTGGTTTAATAAATAGACCACTTTTATTTTTTAGTGTGCTTGTGTAATTCTTGATATTGATGAACTATGTACCGTCAAGACGGTTAATAGACTTTTCTAAATTTAATTTAAAGAAGATAGTTTACATACATTTAAATCAGAGAGTCAAGTAAATGCGTCTTACGGTACTTTAAATTTTGATTTATTTAAAATTAATTTTTAATAAAAAACAAGTTTTCATAAATATTTACCAATGGCATTTAAAACTCATTAATGTGTTGTCCAATAGAAGTAACTGTAGTATCCATCTTTACGTATAATAGAAAATGAGCATTTCCTCTTTGATATTCAGGTTTTCCTAATGGATGTGCAACAGCACCCTTTATCTGTAATATCTGTATTTTAAATAATTTAAATTTAAATATTTGTAATAATACCAAAATTTATAAGTAGCTAATAGACATAAAATTTATAAAATATATAAGTGATAATAGTTAAATTCAATGATTTGTGTAAATTATAAAAATTAATTTAATTTAAATGATTTTATTATATATAACATGATAAAAGTTTTTTTTTTTTTTTTATTTTGCATGCTTTATTATCTATATTTTCTAGGAGAGAAGGCTCCAAGATAGACATGGTTTAATGTTCTAGAATGCAAACCGAATAATGTATGGTAAATTGTAATATACTGAATAAAAACACAATGTTTTGGTTATCTTTTAGGCACAAAAAAAAATTTTTTTTGAACACACATTTTTGAAAGTATTTTTTTAAATTGTCAAAGTTTTCGATTTAAAAAAATGGCCTGAAAATGATGCTACTTTATACCAAAATTTCAAACGAAATTTCATAAATATTTTTATTTAACTTAAAAATTTTTTTTTATGATGCTGTCAACTTACTTTATTTTTAAGAATGATAGAATGAAGGCGATTAACATTTTCTGTTCCCCAAGCGACGCAGGATATTTTTCTTCCTTCTCCATTGGCTAGAGTAAATGCCAGTAATTCCTGATTCATAACACATTTTTTCGATACATCCACAATATAACCAATTACTTCTCTAAAACAATAACAGATGTATGATATAATATGATATTCACGTTAGAGTTACATGAAAATATTAGTTTTAAATAATATTTGTAATGTTATATAATATAGGTAATACAGAAACATACATTGCTGAGTCAAACATTTCAATTTCATCAATAGTTGCTGATGGTGTCATTAATAAATTCTCCATTCTGTATTAAAAAAAGTGATATTTTAATAAAATTTTAGAATATATTAAAAAAGTTCATCTATCTTAAATTCAGCTGTTAATTACATTTCCTCTTTGCAATAAACAATTTTCTGACTTATAAGTAAGAATGTGTAAATAATGAAAAAATTTTACATCAATGATCAGAAGTATTAAAACTTTATTAAAAAAATTAATTTTTTTGGAAGTGGTAACAAATATGTTTAAAGCATTTTTTAAATTTCTTGTGACTATTTTGAGATATTAATAGGATGAATATGCCAATATATTTCAAAGTAAATTCGTGACAACTTTTCCAAGTTTGTGTATTTATAACAAAAATGAGTCAACATCCCCAACCAACTCCAATTGGAGTTGGTAACAGTTTTTTATACTTTTTAATATTATTTTCTTATTATTATATTTTAAAAATTTTATTTTATTAATTTTATACGGAAAAAAATCTTCAACTATTAAGATGAATTTACAAATTCCAATTAGAATTGGTAACAGTTTTTTATACTTTTTAATATTATTTCCTTATTATTATATATTTAAAATTTTTTTCATTAATTTCACAGTGCAATAGAATTTTACTTTTTTATTATTTCTGGAATCGCATAGGGTGATTATTCAAGAATTGTTCCATCACCCTAGGTTTTCGAGAAATTTGACCTTGAAAATTGAAAAATGAAGTTTTTCGGGTACTTTTTGATTTTTTATTACTTTTTTAAAGAAATTGTTGTATTTTGTTTATAAAACTGTTATAAACAAATTATTTTCAAGAAGGTAATTTCAATTCAGTGATTTCATTTTTACAACTGTAGTCTGTAATTTTTGGTGATTCTAAACAGACCGAAACCACCTAATTTGTTTAAAAAATTGTTATAACAAAAAAAATGTTGCGACGCGAATTTTAAACAAGGATAATTAATAAAAAAATTGATATTTTTAAAATGTTAAAATTGGAAATTATTGAGGAGGATATAAGCTTTTGGACGCATATCATAAAAACCATAGAAAAATTTTTGTACCTTGATAAAAAACCAAAAAGTACCTCAAAAACAGAATTTTTTAATTTTCAAGGTCAAATTTATTAAAAACATAGGGTTACAAAACAATTCTAATTACGGATTTGCGCTTAGCATCAAAAAATCTATAAGAATCACCCTATCCGATCTCAGAAATAAAAATTCTGTTGCACTGCGTGCAACTTAAAAAATCGTTCGTTGATAATCGTTGATAAAAAACGGTTAAACTGCTACCAACTCCAATTGAAGTTTTTATACTTTTTAATATTATTTCATTATTGTTATATTTTTTTAAGTTTTAATTTTTTCTTTATTAATTTTAGTAACTTTATTAATTTGATTAATTTTATTATCTTAGATGGAAAAAAATCATTAGCTGATAAAAAACAGTTTTTTAAAAAATTATCGAATACTCTACAAAAATATACAATGTGGAATATTTACAAAAATTTCGTATGAAATTTTTTTACGGAATTCCGTAGAATCGTTTCACGTGGAACGTGTACACTGGGATAAACACAAACAAACATCTGAGTATTCAATTAGAAACTTATATAAGTTATGTGTACAGATATAAAATGTTTTAAACAAGTTTTTAATAAATCTATACCCACATAGTTCAACATCTAAGATCAATATTGCTTACGTTGCCCGGCAATGTTGCTTTAACATTGATTCTGATAACATAAACGCAATATTGCCAGGCAATGTCTACAGGGTGGACATATTCAATAATGAAGCAACATTGGTAATACTGCTGTACAAAATTTAACTCAAATCTTGTGTTACTTTTAGGCTTATTTAAAATAAATATTTGACAAAATATTAAAAATTTGTTAGTCAGAAAATTATGTATCACATTCGTCAATTTATAATTCAATGTAATTTTTTATATAAAATATATATAACATACCTTTTTAAGTATTTTAAAAATCCTTTAAGAAATAGCACACTTCTTTTTATTAAAGAGACGTTATTTTAAAATAAAAATTCAGGTATCATTTATTCACAATTTAACCAAAAATAGAACCAAAATGGTGCCTAAATGGATGTATAATATATACTGATAGAATGTAGTGGTTGAGTGATGAGAGGATTGAAGGTGAAGAAGAATAAATAGAGGGGTTGCAAAAGAGAAAGTAATGGATCAGGGGCGTAATGAATCACTTTAATTTCATGAAAATGTTTAAAGTTTTAATTAAATATGTTCCATTTTTAAAACTCTTTGTTATAAATGTACAATAGAGACAAAAATTGTCAATATTGTAATAATATTTCATGGTCTCCCATAATTATTTGTTTTTTTGTGAATTCTAACTACGGACCCGATAACATCGAGTTTTCTAAAAAGTAGCTGTCGTTTTGGATCCGCAACTTTTTATTTTAAAAGACTGACATCATAAATGTAATCATCAATTTTAATAATTTTCTTGTGACAAGTTTTAAACGAGTCAGATTATTTTTTTTTAAATTGAAATTTTTGATTCGCCATTATTTTAAAAAATATACATCGGATTTTTAGTTAAAAAATTGATTTTTAAGCTTCAATTGGCATTAATTCTTTAAATTTCCAATATAAATTATACTTTATATGGACCTATCGGTTCGTCTTCATGCAAAAAATACAATTTTGTCTCTCACATTGACATTTCACTTTGACTTTTATTTTATTTCACTAAATAACAGATTGCGACCTTCTGCGCAAATTCTGTACCATTATTATAGCTCGAAAATTTTAATTAATACAGTAGATGTTATAAATAATTTGTCAATTTTTCGATAATACATTAGTATTAAACTATTATAAATGTTTTAATTTAAAATATTTATTTTTACAAAAATTTATTTTCTTAATTTTAATTTTTATAAAATGTTGTTTTAAGTTTAATTATTAAACTAAGATTCTTTTTGAACACATGAATTAATTAAACAAAAAACAAATTTTTAATCTATTCACATCTTAAAGAACATCTACATAATCATAATTAAATTGCACGAATTATTACACTTTTAAAAATAATTTAGTCTTTTAAAAATAAAGTATGTCATAACAAGTTAATGCAGATTATAAGAATTTAAAATACACACAAATACAAACCAAATTCTAAACGTAATTAAGACTTGATTGCACCAAAATACTAACCTTACAAATTTTATAAATTTCATGAAATATTTTATTGATCATAAATTTCTAGATCTGAAACTTTCAAAACGAAAGTTTCCAATTGAAAGTTACGACACATTGATAAATTAAGTGTAAATTTATCATTAAAAGATTAAAAAAACATAAGGGGAATTTTCAAAATAGCGTCAAAATTAAAGAGTGAACTTTTTGGGAAATAGAAGACAGACTGTAAAGTCTAAATAACAAATTTACTGAAGAAAGTTTGAAAGGATATTTTATAAATAAAATACAACAAAATTTTATTTTTATTCAAATAGTAGTCGGATATAACTATTCAAAATTACTATTGGAGTAACAATTTTTATGAAAATTTCATTTTATGTATTTAATACATAAAATTAATATTTATTCGTCGTTTTAATTTTTTTTAGTAGTTTTTTTTATTTTTTTTTATTTTTAGTGGATTTATAGAATTTAAGAGTAGACTAAAGTATTTAACATAAACCGTACTATTTGATTCATATTAGAGTAATTGAACGAATAAAATCTTTTTTAAAATGCTAGAATTTTTGCAATAAATATTTTAAAAAATTTAAATGGAAAAGCAATTTTTAAAACTATTAATGGTAATCAATTTTACCAGAAATATCACAAACATTTTGTGAGAGTACATAATTCTTTTGAACAAGTTGTATTTTCTTTAAAAAAATATTTTATCAACATATAGGTAATATTGTATGAAAAATTTCAATTTACAACTAAAAAGTAGGTAATTTTTAAGATCATTATAAATCAAATAGTTACTTTTTTAAAATACATTTAAAGGTCATTATTTAGTCAGTCACTTCTTCAAAAAAAATTATTTTACGTAAGTATTTTTGCTAAGAGAAAAATGTTTATTATTTTAGTCGACTTTAAAGTAAGTTTAGAAATAATCAAATTTTGAAGATTTCTTTTAAGAAATAATACATTCTTAAAAATAAATTAATTTTTTGGCAATGAAGACACAACTTTTTGTTCAGTTTTTTTTATTTTTACATACTCTAAAATGTAACAACTTGAAAACTTTCTTATAGAAAATATTCTTTATACAGATTGTGGACATAAAAAATGCTCTTGCATTTCCGCCGAATATACCAAAATTAAGTAATGGAAAAAATAATAAATTTATATTTAATACAATTAAATATTTAATTTTAAATTTTGACGTCGAAAAATAAAGTTTTTTGTTCAAAAATTACCAAATTAAATTTCGTCTATTAAATTAATAATTTTTTAAATTTCAGAAAATGTGACTACTTTCTCAAAAATTGCATCTGCACCCACAAAATAATGAAACTGTTTTACAATTATTGAATAATTAAACGTAATTTAAGTATGTGATAATTTTCATAAAATTAATAATTTTATAGTTAAAATCTTTTATAAATAGGTGTTTATACAAAAGATACTTCAAAATTCATAAACTTCATATTTTGGTAGTTAAATATTAAAAAAAATATTTGTTTTTAAAAATGTTGTCATTAATTTATGAAAATTTTAACACAATTGTAATTTTATAAAATTTATGTAATAATTTTTGACAATCATTTGGATTTTCCTACTACTGGCATTTTCAAACTGTTCTATCGTTCGCGAACTGAGCTGTAAAAAGTACGTTTAAGGGACTATAAGCACCCTGTTGCTATAAGAAAAGAATTGTGATCAAAAAAGTGTGTGTTCCATTTCAAGAGAAATTTGAGGTAAGTTTTGTGTTTGTTTAAATAATTTTGTGACATTGTACTATTTATAAACCAAGTATTAATATTTTATTATAAAGTAATATTTTTTAACGAAATATAAAGACGGATGTAAGGAAATGAATTTGTTTTGTACATTTACTATTTTATTGAACGCGATTTCCGTTATATTAGAGAAGTAATAAAATTATTTAATTTAAAAATAGTAAATCAGTAACTATTATTAAATTGAGTAAGAACATCTATTTTAAAATAAAACTTTAATTTCACTCTAAAGGTTAAGACTCTCATATTTATGTAAACATCAGTTTATATACTTTTCTTATCTTCTTCAAAAGCCTTATAAATTTAATTATCCTTTACAAAATTGAAGAACGTATGTTGTGAAATGTGATATATTTCGAATAAAATTTCATTCTAATTCCAAAATTATATTTCTGTATAAATTTAAAGACATTATTGTTACCTGGCAGTACAGATGTGTTACATTAAGAAATATGTTGTATTGCTTTTATTATTATTGTTGTCATATTAATATATATAGTGTTTAGTGTCCTATATTGCCATATCGTTAATTAGTAGTAACTAGCATATACCTACTACATATCAGTACATTAGCATACATACATACATACTCATACAATAAATACAACATACATACATACATAACATACATACTACATACATACATACATACATACATACATACTACATACATACATACATACATACATACATACATACATACATACATACATACATACATACATACATACATACATACATACATACATACTACATACATACATACATCCATCATACATACATACATACATACATACATACATACATACATACATACATACATACATACATACATACATACATACATACATACATACATACATACATACATACATACATACATACATACATACATACATACATACATACATACATACATACATACATACATACATACATACATACATACATACATACATACATACATACATACATACATACATACATACATACATACATACATACATACATACATACATACATACATACATACATACATACATACATACATACATACATACATACATACATACATACATACATACATACATACATACATACATACCATTGTTATATGCCCTACTACTGTTATAACTATCCAACTTACTTTTATTTTATAGAAATATGGAAATGTCAACAAATGAAGCTATAGATGCGGTGGAGTTTTGGGACAAAACAGTGTATGTATCTTAAATATTTATTTCTATTGTAATGTATAATTTTTGATAAGATTAAATATGTTTCATAAATAGAGAATTACTTTCCCTGAAAAAATTCTTTTTGCAGAAAAATATAAACGTTTTTACGGAAAATGAGTAAAATTTATGAATTTTATGAATTTATAAAAATTAAAATTATAACTCTTCCTGAATTCAATTATTTTTAACAATATTCAACAAAACTTCATCTCTAAATCAATTAATTTAAATAATTTTCCAAAAGTTCTTCTAGAATTCAATTATTTAATTACAAAAACTCAAGTTTTTATAATAATTGTAACTCTCCATAGTTTTCTCTTAAGTTATTAATATATACAATTTTAAAAAAATAAAGAAATTTTTTAAATTAATACTTTTTAATATTTAAAAATAATTTTTGCAAGATAATAGTTTTTCAATTTTAAAAATTTTTTAAAGAATTAAAATTTGGTATAATCTTTTAGAAATAATTAAATTTTTTAAAAATATAAATAAAAATGATTAAATTTTTGAAGAATATTAATTATAAACAGGACCATGATTTCTCATAAATTTTAATGAGTCTAAAAAGTAAATTTTCAAAAAATTTTATTTACATTAATCGAAGATGATTCAAGCTTAAAAAATTATTATAAAACAATTCTAATAATTAGTTTTGAAAAATATTTTAATGTAAATTTTCGAAAATAATTTAATTTCTTAAAATAATTTTTGTGTAATTTTAAAAAAATAATTAATATTTTGATAACAATAATTAAAAATCTGAAACATGATTGTTTTTTCCAAAATGTTAAAAATAGTTCTAAAATATTATTTTTGTATGTATTTGAATTTTTGGGAAAGATGTAATTAGAAATTCTAAAAATATTGAATTTTAAAAAATTAAAAGCTAATTTTCAATAATTTTCATTTTTAAATTTACCTTTAAAGATTTTTTATTAAAATTTTTGAAATTTCAATTATTTTCAAAATTTGCCATTAAAATTCTTAAAAAATTTATTTTCAAAAATTGGAACAAAATACTTAAAAAAATTAATTATTTTCAATTAAATTTGACAAAATTTCAACTATTCAAAAAGATTTTTATTATATTTGAAAAATTTAATTATGTTAAAAGAGAATTCAAAAACAATTTGAATTATTTAATAATTTGAAAGATTTGTTTATAGTTATTTTTCACATTACATATAAAAATCAAAATAAGTTGCAATTTTTCACTAAAAATTGTTGTATTTTGTTGCAATGTTTTGAAAAAAAATAAAAAAAAGTCGCAATTTTTTAAAATAAGTCGAAAAAAGTCTTAATTGTCTTAATTTCCTTCACAAAATTTTTTTCCTGACATTTTCCTGACTTTACTGACAAAAAACTTGTTTCCCTGAATGGCGAAAGTTTTAACGTTTAAAATTTTTTTAAAATAATAAAAAAGAGACATATTATTTTTAGACAAAAATTCACATTTAT